GGTCCCGCGGGACGCCCCCGCGCCCGGCGCCGCCGCTTCGCCGTGCTCGCGCTGCCCCGTGCCCTTGCGGGGCTTAGTTCAATCTGTCCTGGGGCTAATTCTGCTGATGCGGCTAATGCCGCCGCGCCGGGGCCGGCTGCCAAGGCGGCTCGCTCGCCGCGCTGCCCCCCAAAACCCACAATCCCAGAATCCCGGGATGCCTGAGGTGGGAAGGGACCTCTTGGGATCCCCCAGCTCAGCCCCTGCTCCAGCAGGGACACCCGGAGCACCCGGGTGCATCCCGGCAGGTCGGGAGATCTCCAGAGCAGGAGACCTCCCCGGGCAGCCTGGGCCAGGGCTCGGGCACCCTCACCCCAAACAAGTTCCTCCTCACGTGGAGATGGAGCTGCCTGGGCTTCAGCTTGCACCCACTGCCCCTTGCCCTGTCCCTGACACCACCGAGCAGAGCTCGGCCCCTTCCTTGGTTCCCTTTCCCGCATTTGCTCGTACCCGCCCCGGCTCGGCTGTCCCTGCAGGAGGGTCCCCTTGTTGCCATCGCTCATCCCCACCCATAGGAGCTTGGCCAAAATTTGGGCCCCCAACACGGCTTCTTTCACAGGGGTTTTGGCCGTGCCACCAAAGTGCAGCCAGGACAGGGCACTCACGGGCACGAGGACGGGACTGTCCTCCTCCACCTGCTTGCAGGGCTTCTGCTCCAAGCCTAGGCACAGGAAAAGGCCACGTCTCAGCACCGGCACCAGGGACACACAGCGCAGCCTCCCGTCTCCTTCCCACAACCTTCCTCGTGTCCCGGCTCTGCCCATGGCCATCGGGGTGCTCCCCAGCCCTGCCATCCTCCCCGTGTCCCAGGGGGGACCCAACAGTTCCCTCTGCTGGCACCTCCATCCCGCGCAAGGAGTGCCCGGGAGCGCAGCGGGCGCACGGGACGCCGGCCTCTGCCGCTTGCTTCTGCCACTCCGAGAGGCATTCCCCGCTGCCTTCTAATTCCTTTTTGATGGGTTGCTCCAGGCAGCAAATTCCCCAGGAAATTCCCAGGCATTTGCCAGGAGGCGGGCAGCGCACCGGTGCCCACGGCTGCCACGCGGCACCGCAGGGCGCCGCTCGAGCCGCTAGCACTGCCCTCACGCCCCGAGCGCGGCCCGGGCCCCGCGGCGCTGCTCACCCGGCTCGGCGCCGGGCACCGGCACGGCGGAGCACTCGAAATACTCCAGCTCCTCCTCGGGCTCCCCCTTCCGCTCGGCGGGCGCCCGCGGCGCCGAGCCGCTGCTCGCCAGCTTCTCCTCATCCGTGGCACGTCCGGCGAGCCCGGGGAGCCCCGGCAGCAGCGCCCCATCCTGCGGCACGGAGGCAGCCCGGTGAGCGGCAATAAGGGCACCGGCTTCTCCGGGCTCTCCTCATCCCGGTGTGCCGGGTATCTGGGAAAATCTGCGGCGTTGGCACTGCTCCGTGCCGAGGTTTCCGCCTACCTGAGTGCCGACGTCCAGGACCAGGCTCTGCGCCTCGTAGCGCTTCACCTTGCAGCCGCTCCTGCGGGGAGAGGCACGCGGGAGTGCTGGTGGGCAGCGCGCGGGGCCGGCCGCCAGTGCTGGCGAGCGCACAAGGCCAGCGGCGAGCGCGCAGGGCTACCGGCGAGCGCGCAGGGCTGATGGCAAGTGCACAAAGCCGATGGCAAGTGCACAAGGCCAATGGCAAGTGCACAGGGCTGCTGGCAAGTGCACAAGGCCAATGGCAAGTGCACAAAGCCAATGGCAAGTGCACAAGGCCAATGGCAAGTGCACAAAGCCAATGGCAAGTGCACAAGGCCAACGGCAAGTGCACAAAGCCAATGGCAAGTGCACAAAGCTGATGGCAAGTGCACAGGGCTGCTGGCAAGTGCACAAAGCCAATGGCAAGTGCACAAGGCCAATGGCAAGTGCACAAAGCCAATGGCAAGTGCACAAAGCCGATGGCAAGTGCACAGGGTTGCTGGCAAGTGCACAAAGCCAATGGCAAGTGCACAGGGCTACTAGCAAGTGCACAAAGCCAATGGCAAGTGCACAAGGCCAATGACAAGCGCATGGGGCTACCAGCAAGCGCATAATGCCAACGGCGAGCGCACAAGGCTGCTGGCAAGTGCACAAAGCCAACGGCAGGAGCACAAGGCCAACGGCAAGTGCACAGGGCTACCAGCAAGCGCATAATGCCAACGGCGAGCGCACAGGGCTGATGCCAAGTGTGCAAAGCCAATGGCAAGTGCATAAAGCCAATGGCAAGTGCACAAGGTCAATGGCAAGTGCACAAGGCCAACGGCAAGTGCACAAGGCCAACGGCGAGTGCACAGGGCTACTGGCGAGTGCGCAATGCCAACAGTGAGTGCACGGGGCTACCAGCAAGTGCACAATGCCAACGGCAAGCGCCCAAGGCCAATGGCAAGCGCACAAGGCCAATGGTGAGCACTCAGGGCTACCGGTGACTGCACAGGGCTACCAGCAAGTGCACAAGGCCACCGGCGAGCGCACAGGGCTACCGGCGAGCGCGCGGGACGGCCAAGCAGTGCGGCAGCCCCAGCTCCGGCAGCGCCGCGGGGCTGGCACGCACGGCACGAGCAGGCGCAAGGGGGGAGGCTCCGCAGCGCCCCGCTTTTCACGGGCACCAGGAGCAGGGACGGGAGCCGTGGAGTGAAAGGCGACCGCCGAGGAGCGGGGAAAGCGACGTTTCCGCGCGCTCGTTTTCGGCGCCACGGAGGCCCCGCGCGCCGGGCCCATCACCGCCGCGTCCCGGCGCTGCCCGGCCACGCGCAGCCACGGCTCCTCCGCGCACCGCCGTGACGGGAGCACCGGCCCCAAGCAGGGGCGCCTGCAGGGGCTCCCCTTTCCTCTTCCCCTTCCCGTTTCCACAAGGCTCCGTGGTGCTCAGACTGCCGGAGCCCGAGCGAGCCGGTGTGTGCAACACGTTCCCATCGCGTTCCCCCTTCCTTCCTGCCAGCCCCGCACTTCCAAGCGGAGAAAACATTTGCCGAGCATCTCCGGGCGCTCGCTGCCCTCCGAGGGAGGCGGAGGCCGCGGATGGGGAGGCACGAGGAGCCTGTGGAGGAACGGCGCGAGCAGAGCGAGCCGGGCGAGAGGCGGCGGCGAGTACTTACAACAGAAAACAGAGAAATTTCACTTGCTCAGTGGTCCTGATGCACCCCAAAAACAAGCCAGGAGGGAGACAGACAGGTGGAGAGAAGAAAAGCACGTGAAAAGACCTGGGATTCACCGGAGCAACACGACGGATTGGCTGGGAATGGGGGCGGCGGCGGGGAGCGCGCGCAGCGCCGCGTGGAGGCCCTCGGCTCCTGTCTTGGCTGCAGGGAGCTGCCGGCCGGAGCGGCTCCGTCTCGGGACCTCCCGGGTCTGGGAGGGGAGGCCGAGACGCCAGCCCTGCGTGGCGGCAGCCTCGGCCACCTGGGTGACGCAGCGGGGAAGCAGCAAGGAAGCAACCCGTTCTATCCAGCCAAGCTGGTCCCAGAGGAGCGCAGGCGCTCCAGGCCCGCCGGTATTCCCAGGAATGCCCTGCTGCTGAGGACACGAGCCCCCACGGCCTCCAGAGCCAGCGAGAAGTCGCGTCGGTCGCTCCCCTCTCCTCGGGGAGCACTCGGGGTCCCGGCAGCAGCTTGCTCGCCAGCAGCATCCGACCGGCCCCACGCGTGCCCGCAGCCTCCACAGAGGCCACAGTCCTCACCCGGCCGCGCAGCCCCGGTGGGCGCTGGCCGAGGACCCGAGCGCGCCTCCGAAGCCAGGCTTTGCGGCGCCTCTAAGCACAGGGACGCGGCCCCAGTGCAGGCGGCCCCGCGGAGGCTCCGGGCTCGCTCGGCGGCGCCGGGAGCGCGCGCTGCACTCACGTTATCAGGCGCGACTGGGGCGTCTTCGGGGAGCCCCGCGGCGGCTCCTCCAGCGCCCGCGACTCCAGGATCTCGTTGAGGCTGTTCTCGGCGGCGGGGCAGCAGTCGCCCAGGGGCTTGCCGGCCTCCGTGGCCTCGCCGGCCTCCGCGGCCTCGCCGGCCTCCGTGGCGCCGCGGCGCGGAGCCTTTGGGGAGCTCCTGACCAAGGGCTCGTGCTCGGCGCTGTCCCCGGCGGCCGCGTCCTCCGCCGCTCTCCTGGCCGCTTCCCGCTGCCTCTTGGGCGTCAGCTTGCTGGCCGGGATCCTGCTGCCCCTCCGCGCCGCGGCCTTCCGGCCCTCGGCCTCCTCCGGCACGTCCGGCTGTGCCGGCGGCTCCCGGCCGCGCGGGGCCGTGTCCGGGAGCGCGGTGGTGCCCGGCGGCGCTGCCTCGGTGCCGTGGGAGGGCGCGGGCAGGGCGCTCTCCGCGGCGGCGGCCGCGCTCTGCTCCGCTCGCTTCCCCGGGGCTCCCCCGATCCCCAGCTCGCTGCCGTCCGGGGAGGAGGAGCACGGCCGCTCCGCGGCGGCTCCGGGTGCCGGGAGCTCTCCGGCCGCAGCGCCGGTCAGGGCGCCGGGGTCCGCGTCGGACTCCGCGCCATCCCACGGTGCGCCGGGCGCTCCATCGCCGCCGTCGCAGCCGCCTGTCCCGTCCCGCTGCCCCTCGTGGCCACCAGGCTCTGCAAAGACACCAGGAGCGCGTCGAGCATCCCCGAGCACCCCCGCGATGCACAAGGGAGAGCAGAAACCCTCCGGGCGCTTGGCGTTCGGCCCCGGGTGGGGGGCAAGGCAAGAAGCGGCGCAGGGCGGGCGCAGGAGAAGGGCCCGCGGGTGGGAGAGCGGCGGCCACTCGCGCCCCGGGCACAGCCCTGATCCATGACTTAAGCTCTATTACTGCAATCCCAGCCGCTAAATCCTTTTACTCTTTAATCTTGCCTTCTCTGCTGCCGCCGCCGCCGCCGGGGAAGCTCCTTACTCACCGAGGACAGCCCCGCGGTGCCCAGAGAAGAGTCACTGGGGCCGCCCGCACCCTCAGAGGTCCCCAGATCCCCAGGGAGCAGCTACCTGCCTCCCCAAAAAGGCCCCAGCGAGGAGCCCAGTGCCGGCCTGGAGCGCAGCCAGCGCTTTGAAGCCGCCCCTGCCAGGCATCGCCCTCAGTAGGGACCAGCATAAACTCTCCACCCGACCACACACCAGCTCCATTCCACTTGCGCGCCTTAATAACAACGGGTTTTTTAATGTGAGGCTGCAAGCTGGGGCTGGCTCGCGCCTTTAAGGGCCCTGCTCTCCCACGTACAGCGAGCGAGCGGAGCCCCGCGCGCCGGGCTCATCCCACGCGCATCCCTGTGCGCGCGGCGCGGCGCGCGCAGCATCCGGGGCAGCGCGGCGGCTAACGGCTCCCTTCCTCTTTCGGCTTTCCGCTCTCGCTCGGCGCCTGCCGGGCTATTTTTAAACCCATCCTGTTATGAATTAGCATCGCGGCAAACAAGCCCCGGCGGCTCCGGGGCTGCTTTGCCTGCACGGAGCGTCTCGCCCAAGGGCGGGCGAGCAAGCGCGCCGGAGAGGGCATTTTACAAGCATATATTTAGGGGCAGAGGCCAGGGAGGCCCTGGGGAAAGGGACCTGCTGGCGGTGGCACCACGTCACGTCAGGGCCCATGGCAAGGGCAGCTCCCTGCATGTACCGGGATGAGCCGGCCGCTCCAATCATCCCACTGTCCATCCCATCCTGCTGTCCCTTCGCCGGGGGACCCCGGAGCCCCCGGCACCCAGATGTGTGTCCCCATCCTGAGGGATGGGGAGAGCCCAGCTGCTCCCTGCCCCCCGTCAGGATGATTCAGGAAAACGGGCACTGAGGCCGAGAGTGGCTCATGCAGCCCCCAGGCCATTAACCACAAAAAAATGCACACGTTTGGCTCAAAAGCAGCAGCTTCTCCTTGACCCCACCCGGCCCTTCCGCCTCCGGAGCGCCGCGGCAGCGCGGGGATGCTCCTCACCTCGGCCCGCGGCCTCCGGCAGCACCGGCACGCGCAGCTCCTGCGGCAGCGGCTGCGGCGGCGTTTCGGCTTCAGGGGTCTCAAAATTCCCTTCGGAGTCCGAGCTGCTGGAAACGGGGGGGGAGACAGTGAGGAATGACGGTGATCCTGGCTGGCTGCAGCAGCCCCCAGGCAGCCGGCGCATCCCAGCTTGTGATTCCCAGGATGCACATGAGGGCAAAGGGGGTGGAAGAACAGCCCCCGCACGGCCCCGGGGCTGTTGTCACCCGCTGCCACCCCACGGTCCAGTTGATCCGTCCGCGACGAGGCAGCCGGTGCGCTTGGAATCCCATCCCGAGGGATGCCCCCTTGGGAGCCGCCGCTCTGCCCCTCGCCCCTCGCCCGCCCGCGGCCGCG